TCTAAATTGGTTACTTTAGGCGGAGCTGTTATTTCAATTATGTGTTATAATCATAGAAAAAAATTACCAAGAATTATCAATAAAAATATTAAGTTTTACCTGTCGGCGGAGTTTCAAACTCGTATTTTTGATAAGCGGAAGCATTTTCTTTGCTTAAAAAATCTCTTATTACGTAAACTGTTGCCAAGTATCGCTCAACACCATTTAATTTCGGACTTAATTGATCCAAATCTAAAGATTTGTGGTTAGTCTGTTTGGTTATATTGTAATCTTTAACAGCGTCACTAACACCTTGTATTTTTATTCTGGCTTTCAATGATCCCAGAATCGTTGTACAATCTTCAGGCGGACTCCATGACAATTTCCAGTCTTGTATTTTCAACTGAGTAAATACTTCTGATGGTATTTCTACAAAACCATAGATTCCTATTTTTTCTGTGATAAACTTTTATACCAGATACATATATAAGATACCAGATATACATATATAAGATACCAGATATTATAAAAGTTTTTTTAAAAACTAATAAATAATTAATTAAATATATTAAACAGTGTTTGTTCTAGTTTCAGCATTAACAACAATTTTAGTAAATGATGTAATGTATATATACCAGATTGTGCTGTAATGAAGGCTGTTTCTGTGTTCATGCTAAAATGACGTGAGTTATGAGCTATGATTTGGGCACTATAAAACGTGTACAAATGTAAATCCGGAATTGTGATCCTTGGCTCTATTGTAGATGTTGTAATAATGTGATTATCCGGCGTAGATATTTCTAAATCCCTACAACCGCAATACTCTTTAACCTGGAATTAATATAACATATTATCTGTATAATAAGTCACAGCACATTAAAAACTTAATATTATAATTAAAATGGTAAAATAAAATGTATGCGTACAATCACAATAATACGATACTTCGAATACTAAACTAATTTAAGATATAAAACTGATTTTAAGTTAGATTTTTATTGATTGATTTTCTTATAATGTTTCTTATAACTGCATTACTTTTAAGATTACTTCATATCGCACTATTTTTCCATTCGGTTTATGTGGAGGTTTCCAAATCAGGGTGAGTTGTGTATTAGACGAGAACATTTTTTGTAGCTCTGACACTCTAGAT